CCCCTCTGCCCCTTAGGAACCAAGCATGGGACAGTCATGGAGAGGCCGGAACACAGCCTTTCTGGACACCTGAGGCCACCTAATAGGCTCTGGGAGAAGCCGTCCCAGTGGGCGTCACATGAAGAGAACGGTCCACTCTGACTGCAGTCAGATCCACTCTGACCACAGCTGGGGTGGGGTGGGTCCCAGGGAGGATCGAGATGTTTTACTAGCAAAAGGTGATTTGCTCACAGTTCCTCAGTACCAACCCTGGAGGTCAGGGACTGTATCTGTTCCACTCTTACTAACGCCCTCTGCACATACTGGACCCGGGTGAGTGCCTGGTGACGTTTACATGGGTCAGCCAGGCAAAACCCCAAGGTCTTTCAGGGATGGTCACCTCTTGTCCTCATCAGCTCCACCGAGCAGGCAGCACCCAGGAGGGTGCCCACAGGCCCAGCCTTGCAACATCTGCAGACCTGCTCCAAAGCAGGAATGGGAGCTGAACAGTGGGGTCAACCCAGGCCAGGCGTCCCACCCAGAAGGAGCTCGGGAGCCCAGCACACTCTTCCCAGGCGTCCCACCCAGACGGAGCTCGGGAGCCCAGCACACTCTCTTCCCAGATGTCCCACCCACATAGAACTCGGGAGCCAGCACACTCTCTTCCCCAGGCCAGGCCGCCTCCTGCAGGGGCTTCACGACGTGGATGCTTCAACACGCCATCAATATACAACCAAGAAACCAAGACAGGATCTGCACACATGCCTCTTTAGAAGCAAGAGGACATGAATCAGCCTGTCCTCATGTTGATGCAGCTTAATCTCCCTGCCTCATACGTTCGTCTGTCTCTCTATTTTCGCTGCTTTTTTCTGGGTCCTTTCCTCGTCTGTTGTGGTTTTGTTCTTGTGTTTTTTAACTATGAAAACCAAATCTAAACTTTGTGACAAAGTCTGAAAACCCAGGGCAGTGTGTGTGTGCCCCGCACTGAACCCCAAATAAAGCAGAGATTCTGTGCCCTGTTCATCCCTCCCAGAAACCCCTCTAGTCCCCAGAGTCACCACCAGTCCCTAGGAGTCACTAGGACAGCAGGCATGTGCCTCCAGCAACTGTGGCCAGGTGGCCTTATATATCCCAGTGCAACTATCCACTGCCCGTGGCTTAGCAACGTTTTGCTGTTGTTTTTGAGATGGAGGCTGGCGTGCAATGGCACAATCTCGGCTCACTGTAACCTCTGCACCGGGATCAAGCGATTCTCCTGCCTCAGCCTCCTGAGTAGCTGGGATTACAGGCGCCTATCACCACCCCCAGCTAATTTTTGTATTTTTAGCAGAGATGGATTTTCACCCTGTTGGCCAGGCTGGTCTCAAACTCCTGACCTCAAGTGATCTGCCCACCTCAGTGTCCCAAAGTGCTGGGATTACAGGTGTGAGCCACCTCACCTAGCTCCAAAGTTTACCAAACTTTATCTTAGCATTATTTCATGATTTATTTTAACTAAACCCTGAGAACAATTCAGATTCCTAGTGCTGGGGGCAAGGCTTCCCTGGTCGGGCTTCTGCACTATCGTCTTTCTCTGACACTCCTGGCGCCAAGGCATCAGTGGGCTTCTGCTCCCACCACACCATCCCTGTTCCTCTGGGTGCCCCTGCTCCTCCCTGTCCCACAACATCTGAGACTGACAGAGCCGGGCATTGCACTCCATCCTCTCCCCCGGACACTGAAAGGCATTTCGGGGCCTGATTCTACCCTCTTCCCATCTTTAACAAGCCATTCCTACTGCCGAACTTGCTGGTGAGACCCGGCACCACCGTCAGGCCACTCCTGGGCCTGGCTCTCTGGCTCTGTCCTGGCTCCCGGCTTCCGAGGCCACCAACCTCTCCCTCCCCTCCTGATCCCCCACACCTCCGTGATCCTTCCCTTCCCACCCTCCAGCGAGCAAAGGAAAGCTACAGAGGAGACAGTGGAGGAGAGGGGTGACTTCCGCATTTTCTTTTCTTCTAGAGCAAGTCCCAGCTGGGACCTGTGTCCTGGGAAATGTTAAGATGCTGCAAAAACATGGAGGTTCTCACCTCCTGCTGGCCGCCACCCTGCACCTGCAGCTGTCACTAGTGAGAACACACAATCGCCGCAACATACTTCTTCCAGAAGAACCATTGGAAACAGAAAGAAATGACCGTAATCCCATCACCCAAAGACAATGAAGAGTGCCATCTTCCAGGTGGTGGGTTGAGCTGACCTGGGTGGACACTGTCTCAGTGAGGAAAACCTCCATGGGCCATCTGAGCCCAGAGAAGGGTCAGGAGAGAGGGCTGGAGGTTTTATATTAGAAAACAGGAGAGGCTGGGCGCAGTGGCTCACGCCTGTAATCCCAGCACTTTGGGAGGCTGAGGCAGGTGGATCACGAGGTCAAGAGATCGAGACCATCCTGGTCAACATGGTGAAACCCCGTCTCTACTAAAAATACAAAAAATTAGCACGTGCCTATAATCCCAGCTACTCAGGAGGCTGAGGCAGGAGAATGGCCTGAACCCAGGAAGTAGAGGTTGCGGTGAGCCGAGATTACGCCATTGCACTTCAGCCTGGGTAACAAGAGCGAAACTCCGTCTCAAAAAAAGGAAAAAAAAAAAAAAAAGAAAGAAAACAGGAGAAATCAGAGGTGTTTTGGTCTAAGAGGAAAAGAGAAGAGAATAAAGAGACCCAGGCAGCAAAACAGAAGCCACAGCAGCTAGTGCAGCCCTGGGGTCCTGACTTCCAGAGCCGAGGAGTACACAGCCCTGGGGTCCTGACTTCCAGAGCTACTGAGAAACACACAGCCTTGGGGATCCCGACTTCCAGAGCCCCTAAGAAATACACAACCCTGGGGGTCCTGACTTCCAGAGCCGAGGATTACACAGCCCCAGGGGTCTCGACTTCCAGAGGCAAGGAATGCATAGCCTTGGGGGTCCTGGCTTCCAGAGTTGGGTGAGGAATACACAGTCTAGAGGTCCTAACTTCCAGAGCCCCTGAGAAATACACAGCCTCGGGGTCCCAACTTCCAGAACCAAGGAATACACAGTCTGGGGGTCCTAATTTCCAGAGCCCCTGAGAAATATACAGCCCTGGGGGTCCCGACTTCCAGAGCCACTGAGAAATACACAGCCGTGGGGGTCCTGACTTCCAGAGCCCCTGAGAAATACACAGCCCTGGGGGTCCTGACTTCCAAAGCCACTGAGGAATACATAGCTCTGGGGGTCCCGACTTCCAGAGCCACTGAGAAATACACAGCCCTGGGGGTCCCGACTTCCAGAGCCACTGAGGAATACACAGCCTGGGGGTCCCGACTTCCAGAGCCGGGTGAGGAAGGCACCGTTTTACCCCATTTGCACACAGGCACACACCTCCCAAACCTCTGCGTGTACCAAGACCTGAGCAGAGTCTTCTGGTGATCAAGGAAAAGAGCTGGGTCAGCAGGAGAGGAGCAGGTGGCCTCTTCATGAATCCCTGCACAGGCAGGAGCTCGGGGCCACAGCTGCCTGGAGATACTGAGCGGCACCCCAGGAATGCACAGAAGCCGGGAACTCCACCCCAGGACTGTGAGCCTGGCTGCAGAGGAGGGACAGATTCGGACACATGTTCTGAAAGTTCATTTTAAAGTGATTTTTAAAAAATCTGTAGTTGAGTACAGATTACACAAGCAATTACCTGTTATTCATGCATTTGTCCCGCTATTTAAAAGTCTTTATAGGTCCGGAGCCATGGCTCATGCCTGTAATCCCAGGGTCGTCTCTGCTAAAAATACAAAAATTAGCTGGGTATGGTGGTGTGGGCCTGCAGTCCCAGCTACATGGGAGGCTGAGGCAAGAGAATCGCTTGAACCGGGAGGTGGAGGTTGGAGGGACCTGAGATCGTGCCACTGCACTCCAGCCTGGGGACAGAGCGAGACTCTGACTCAAACAAGGTCTTAATAAACATTACAGGGACTCCCCCATGAGAGCAGCCGGGAACTTCTTTACCCTGACTCTACTATCCCATATTAATGGGTTTCTATTTTTCCATCACAGTCAATAGCCTGAAGCTTCTTTGTATCCAAATCTTTCTCAGAGACACCTAGAAGGAGGAAAGCCGAGGAATAAGCCGAGGAGTGAAGGGCATTCTTCAGGCTCTTGATATAAAATGCAGTTACACTATCAAGATGGCACCAATTTAGACTGTCCAAAATACTAAGTTATCTACAGTTTTAAAAGTGTTATTAATTCAGTTTTTAAGACAATCTCACTAATCTGTTTGAATACAAACGATTTAAATTCTTAGAAAGTTTATTAGTTGTTTGTACATCCACTTCTGAAAGTCTGCTCCTGTCCTCTGCCAAATTATTTTTCTTAGTGTTTTCTTATCAACCTTTATAAATTAGTAAGGTTATTAATCTTTTAAGTACCATATTTTCCAACTTCATCTCAGTTTATCTTTATTTTGTTTACACCGCTCTCTGTGAAATTTTACATGTTTATATAATCTTATTTATCATGATTAACTCATTAAGTGCTACAGCGATTAAACAGCAAGAACCTATTGACCTTAATTTTTAAGGTTGCACAATAACTATTTGATATGATTGGGCTGTGTCTCCACCCAAATCTCATCTTGAGTTGTAGCTCCCAGAATTCCCACATGTTGTGGGGGGGACCCAGTGGCAGGTATGTGAGTCACGGGCGCGGGTTTTCCCCGTGCTGCTCTAGCGATAGTGAGAAGTCCCAGGATTGCTGATGGATGTAAAGGGGGAGTGTCCCTGTACAAGCTGACTCCTCTGCCGCCACATAAGACGAGCATGACTGTGAGGCCTCCCCAGCCACGTGAAACTGAGGCCATTAAACCTCTTTTTCTTTATAAATTACCCAGTCTTGGGTATGTCTCATCAGCAGTGTGAAAACAGACTAATACACTATAGTCTAATAACCACTGGAAAAGAGATTTTCCAGAACCACACTAAAACGTAAGAACATTTGATTATACACATACATCATAAACAAAAGAAAGTTACTTACCGAATCCAAAAAGCAAAGGTAAGACCCTGAACTCTGCGCAACGGCTTGATTCTTAGAATATCCAACTGTGGACAAAGAAGAGCAAAACTCCTTTATAATCCAGCTTCCAGCAGCATTCTCTTTCACAGAGCTTAGTATACGATATCCCATAAAAAGCTAGAACATTTTGCACTGCCACAAAAATCTGGGTCAGCTTTCAAAGGAACGAAAGGAAAGTCAGAGAGAGACAATGTTCCACGTTTGGTAGGTGGTGTGACGAGAACAAGGATAAAAGAGTCCACCTGGCTCATCATGAAAGTCCATCACACTCAGCAGAGGAAAAAAATGAGGGGTACCTTTATTGGGCACAGCGCTAAGCTAAGCCCTGGGAATATTTTTTAAATAAAATTAAAATGTCCCTGAAAGGAAATCTGTAAAGTCTACTCTGATGAAAGTCAGGATCTAGTCACAAGGGGGAAGCTGGAGGCTGGCATGAGTGTGATGGACTGGTGGAGGTCACCGAGCTGGATGCTTGGTGGCTGGTTTGCATGTGTGTGATGGGCTGGTGGAAGTAACCGAGCTGGACACTTGGTGGGTGGTTTGCACGTGTGTGATGGGCTGGTGGAGGTCACCGAGCTGGATGCTTGGCGGCTGGTTTGCATGTGTGTGATGGGCTGGTGGAAGTCACCGAGCTGGACACTTGGTGGGTGGTTTGCACGTGTGTGATGGGCTGGTGGAGGTCACCAAGCTGGACACTTGGTGGGTGTTTTGCACGTGTGTGATGGGCTAATGGAGGTCACTGAGCTGGACACCTGATGGGTGGTTTCCACGTGTGTGATGGGCTGATGGAGGTCACTGAGCTCGATGCTTGGTGAGTGGTTTGCCCATGTGTGATGGGCTGGTGGAGGTCACTGAGCTGGATGCTTGGTGAGTGGTTTGCACGTGTGTGATGAGCTGGAGGTTACCAAGCTGGACACTTGGTGGGTGGTTTGCACATGTGTGATAGGCTGGTGGAGGTCACTGAGCTGGATGCTTGGCAGGTGGTTTGCACATGTGTGATGGGCTGGTGGACGTCACCGAGCTGGACACTTGGTGGGTGGTTTGCATGTGTGTGATAGGCTGGTGGGGGTCATTGAGCTGGATGCTCGGTAGGTGGTTTGCATGTGTGATGGGCTGGTGAGGTCATTGAGCTGGACGCTTGGTGGGTGGTTTGCACGTGTGTGATGGGCTGTTGGAGGTCACCGAGCTGGACACTTGGTGGGTGGTTTGCACATGTGTGATGGGCTGGTGGGGGTCATTGAGCTGGACGCTCGGTGGGTGGTTTGCATGTGTGCAATGGGCTGGTGGAGGTCTCTGAGATGGAGGCTTAGTGGGTGATGATCTTGGCGTGAATCTCTATGATGAGCTGAATGTGCTGCCACCATCTACAACACCAGAGTGGATGCACATCCCATGACCCCGTGCTGATTGTAACAGATACCGTGCAGCATAAACCCAGCAGAGCATAACCTACGCGGCCAAGAGCAGCACTGTTGTAAGCGCTCAAAACTGGGAACTCCCCAAGTGCAGAACAGAAAAGCTGGAATACACAGGCCAAGGAGACACACACCCGGGCCATACGCCAGCGTGGGCGCCTCTCCTGGGCTGCTGAGCAGAGAAGGGAGCGGCTGCTAGATGGGGCACTGGCCCGGAGTGTGAGGGCAGCCGAAATTCTTCTGTGCTGTGAGAAACTAGGAAAGCGGCCGCCCTTGGGGAGGGAGGTGACTGAGGGGCCCAAGGGGGCTTCAGGGGCCTGTGATCCCCCCAGGTGCCACAGTATGATTATGATGCATACTTTTCTGTGTGGATGTTGTATTTTAATAGGAGTTTCAAAAAAATCTTTATCTTCAAAGATAGTAGAACTGGGCTGGAAAAAGAGCTGAACGATGATGCCAAATGAACGGGATTGAAAACGGGGCTGAGGAGGCTTAAAGGAAGACAAGGTCCTGGCTAGGGAGCTGTGGCAGGAACCTGCTGCGGAGAACGTAAACCGACAAAAGCAGGGCAGGGCAGGCAGACCCCTGTCCCGGTGCTGTGCTGCAGGCGGGAGGCGTTTGGGGAAGCAGGTGCTGGCCAGCTTCATGAGAACTGCCTGCTGGTCTAAGAAGGCTCAACATTCCTCTGGCGGGAAGGGTAGCCAAGGAACGTTCTGAATGAGGAGGAACAGCAGAAGCTGAGGCATGGTAGGCTCAGCTAGGACGCTGACGCCAGGATGGGTGAGAGGTGGCATTTCGCCCACAACAAGGGTGCTGAGGAGGCTGCAAGGGGCAGGATCCCGCTTTCCCTAGAAAAGAGGCTGGCAACACCTGTATCACGTTAACCAGACAGTTACAGAGGTGATGCCATCCAGGAAAGAAACACAAAGCAAATCAGACGCACACAGAGCTCAACAAGAAATCTCTCCAGCATCCAAATCAAGATGAGCTACGGAAAGTTGTTGGTCTGAGGGGACGTGGCCAGGGGTGCAGTTCAGCCACACGGTGGCACTCCCTGGTTTCCACTCCAAGGAGGGGAGGGCAGGGCTCCCTCGCCATGGGGGCTGTCCTATTTCTGGGGGCACCCAGCAAGCTCATACCACCACCGGGACCACATGGGCAAGCTCATGGCACCACGGGACCACGTGGGCAAGCTCATGGCACCACGGGACCACGCGGGCAAGCTCATGGCACCACGGGACCATGCGGGCAAGCTCACGGCACCAGTGGGACCACATGAGCAAGCTCACGGCACCAGCGGGACCACATGAGCAAGCTCACGGCACCACTGGACCACCACATGAGCAAGCTCAAGGCACCACTGGACCACACGGGCGAGCTCATGGCACCACCGGACCGCGTGGCCACACAGAAGTGGAAGCACAGTCTCCCACCCTCTCTGCGTTCTCCAACCTGGAGCAGTGCCCTCTACAGGGGTGGGGGCTTCATAGGAGGTTTCCATTTAATTTCTAGCATTAATCCCTGAAGTTTAGATTCCAGATGTTGGAAAGCCAGGGGTATGAGAGGTGCAGTGAGGAAATGCACCCAGGAGGTGAGTGCCTGTTTCGCTGTGGGCCAGATGGTGGCCTCCACCATCCTGCAGGGCACGGTGAGCGCCCAGAAGCTCCTCACGAGAAACATGAGCAGAGAGCACCTGTGAGAACAAGGGGCCACAAGGGGCCTTCCACGGTCACGCCATGGTCACAGGGGCTGTGCTCACAGCAGGGCTTGTGAGTGTCAGGTTTCAGGGGAGAATCGAATCCGTGAACTTGGGTAATGAAGGAAGACTTATCTCACTCAGGAAGCTGGATGTTTCTCACAATGAATCCTGTGTTTGACAAAAACAAGGAATTTGCTTTAATATCATCGCCTTGAAGAAAGTCAAATGTTTGAGTGGGGCTACTGTTTGGGGGGGGGGCAGTCCTTTGTGAGGGGATCTGGTTGCCATGGTCCCAGCAGGAAAACTCACACAGCGGCGAGATACTAACATTCCTTCCTCCTGAAGAGGAGAGGATGGGATCCTGCTTGATTTGGGTTTTAGCAAGTGGCCACGTTATTAAGAAATGTGGTGCTCTGTTACTACATGAAATTACAGTAAACAAATCAACCCCTTTCAAATATCCAGCACTTCTGACAACAGATACTCTGGATCTATGTTATTTAACAGTCAATATAACTCCCTATTTAAGAAAATTCTTACAGGAAAATATGTCCCTTTCAGATAGAACCAAACTGACCCCAATGTATTAAAGTGCAGAACGGGGTTCCCACAAGGGCTCCCTGCCCACACCTGACAGGCAGCTGACCGTACGTGTCCTTCATCTGGTCCTTCAGAGCTTTATGACAAATTGTTTTATTATTGACAGAACTCATACAAATGGGATGTGCTCAAGTTACAGCTACTCTACAAAAAGCATTTTACGGAAGGCAAAATGCTTTGAAAATGGACAAATGTTTTCAGACAAGGAGTGTCACAACAGTCACCAGATTAGTTTTCATTTAGATTTGTTTTCATTCAACTACAGAAGAAGCAAAACACCCTCTAATAGTCTTTAACTTTAAAGGATTTTAAAGGATGGTTATGGTAGTTTCAAAAGCCAATTTGTTTACACACCTTTCAGAAGCAAGTTGAAATGGATGTTCCACAATAACCAATTTGTAAGGAGTTTTCTATTCCACCATTCCTGGCTAATATTAAAAAGATTGTTTCAGCAACAGGGTCTCACTGTGTTTCCCAGGCTGGTCTCAAACTCCTGGGTTCAAGCAATCTTCCCACCTCAGCCTCCCAAAGTGCTGGGATTGCAGGTGTGAGCCACCATGCCCGGCCACATCTGTTATTTTTCAAAGTTCATATTGAAAGACCCTTTCCTGGACATTGCTGTGGCCACCTCACCCTCAGGGTGTCTCAGTGGATAGGGCAGCTCCCGGCCCGGCTCTCCTCCTGCAGCGCTTTGAGGCTCGGAGGACGTGGGAGTGAAGCGGGCTCTCAGGTGTGGAGCTGGGCTGGTGGGGTCAGCTCCTGGGCCTGCAATCCCAGCATTCTGAGAGGCTGAGGTGGGAAGATTCACTAAAACCATGTTTTTAACGTTAGCCAAGTGTGGTGGCACGTGCCGACAGCCCAGCTACTCCACAGGCTAAGGCAGGAAGGTGCAGAGAACCGAAGTCGAGGCTGCAGTGAGCTATAATCACGCCGTTGTGCTGCAGCCTGGGCGACAGAGCAAGACCCTATCACAAAACAAACAACACAAAAGATGCTTTTTCTTTTAAACAACCAACTTTTAAAAATTATTTTATTTTGAATTATTTTTAAAATCTTCCTTTGGTATCTTACGCACATCTCTGCTTTCCTAAACAGAGCGCACTGGGGCTGCTTGTTGGTACTGTACGTTGTGCAGGGAAGGGGGTGCGTTGTGCAGGGAAGGGGGTGCGTTGGGCAGGGAAGGGGGTGTGTTGGGCCAGGAAGGGGGTACATTGTGCAGGGAAGGGGATGCGTTGGGCAGGGAAGGGGGTGCATTTGGAGACAAAGTTCCCTTCATTCCTCAGCCCCCAGCTATGCTGCCACTCACCTCTAC